GTGTGACTGTCCCTTGTATCTTTTCTCTCGGGAGCCACATAGTTGTGTTCTTGGTTTTCATTTGGCCACCTTTTAAGACTTCCTGAATCCTCTGATCCTGCGGGGAAGTATGGATTTTGGAACCTGTGACATGGTTGTGTGTAGCTGTCTTCCCATGAGGAGTTTTACAGGGCAGTAGCTACCTTCCAGCAGTGTGGTACGGTGTGTATTCAGAGCATTTAGTTTCCTACCTCCTCCTTTCCACAGTCGTTTCATGGTAGCCAGTGCATGTCCATTTGCCTGTGGGTACCATTGTGGCTGAATGCTTAGTGCTCAGAAGTGGCACCAGAGGCTTGTGTTTTGTCAAAAATTTAAACTTCAGACATGGTGCATGCGTATGTCTAAAATGGTGCATGCGTATGTCTAAAATGGTGGTTCTATGACTCATGCATGCGTAAATCTGAAACAGTGGTTGTGGGATTCATCCAGCGTACATCTAAAACAAGGGGTCTGTCATCATGTTGCTGCATGTTTTCCCCATACACCACTAGGTCACTGGCATGACACAGCACTCCTTCGCATCCCTCCAGCATCTGTGATATACAACAATGGAAGTGCTCCTTGGCTGCTGAAATCCCTAATGTTTGGTGATTGAATGGATATCGCCCAAATGGGTTGATGAATGTCACTCTCCTCGGTGAGAAATTGCATCTAGCTTTGTGAACACCATCGCCCCTTTGTCACAAGATAGTTGAGGTCATGTTTTGCTTTCTCCCTAATGTTTCTTGTTTTTTGTCTTCCTGATTAATTTTGCCCTACTCACCTCTTGAACTGTTTCAGGTACCCCCTTCCTGCCCTCCTGTGTTTCCAACTCCTGTGATATCCTGCTCCTGCCTAATGTTTTGCACTTACCTGTGAGCCTGTCATGCTTTTGGATCCTATTTGAGTCAGTGTGATAGTACGATCGGGCCAAGTAGGGACTCAGCCGACTCAGATCCAGTCTGTTACACTCTACAGAACCAGGAACAGAAGATGAATCTGCAGGAGGAATAGCTGTAGGAACAGCTGAGGAACAAAGTATGCTGCAGCTTGATATGAGAGAGATGTCCAGCGGCGGAATTCACTGCCAGGTCCAGCCTTCCCTGCTCCGGGTCCCACTCCATCAGCTCCTATTCTTATCTCACTGACTTTCATGGTTTCGCTACACCTGTCTTGCCCAGACAGACTCGGGGGGAGTCGGGTGACTGCAGAGCCTTCCTGACCCAGTATGACTTACATTTTGAGCTCCAGGAGGCGACTTTTCCCTCTGACTGGTCTAAAGTAGCCTATATCATCTCCCACCTGACAGGCAGAAGGGAAGCATGGGCCACCACCAAGTGGAGTCGCCCACCCGTCTGTTAAACTGTGCCGCTCTTCACTTTCTCCCAGATTTTTCCATAGATCGCTCTGGGGCAAGAGGCAGCCTGAGCAATAGTCCAGCTCCTGCAGGGAAAGAGAAGAGCGGCCGACTATGCCAGCGAGTTGAAGACCCTAGCTGCGGAGAGCGGATGAAATAAGGCCCCTACAGCCTCTCAGACTCTTTCAAAGATCACTTAGTGTTCCTGGATCTTCCTGAGGAGTTGGATGAACTCATCGCGCTGACAATAAAGGTTGATAAAATACTTTTTGAGAGAGAAAGAGAGAGATCATTCATCAGCGTATCCCTGCTGAGCCGGCAGAGAAAGACTTTCGGAAGTGCCCCTTTGTTGAGCTCAGTCAGTCACACAACTGTTCCTACAGCACCCCTTGTTTCTTCGGAGGAACCAATGCAGCTGGGGAGAACCCGGTTATCACCAGAGGAACGCAAACGCCGCATGAGGGAGGGCTGGTGCACCTATTGCACACAACTGGGACATTTCCTGGCCTTCTATCCAGCAAGAGAGAGGACTCCAAGGAGACAGAGGACTCTGGTGAGTCATACCAAATTCCCTTCCCTTGGCTCTGCAAGTACAATCCTCATATCAACTGGTCCTGGAGAGATCCTGGGCCAGAGGTGTGTGAGGAGTTGTTTTCCCCCTCAGAACAGCCTTTCTACCCCCTCTTTCATACCTGTCCCTGAGGAAAAGGAGACCCCTAATCTACTGTTCCAGCTTGTAACCACGTTATCCGGGAGGTGTTCAGTAAGCTGTGGAGGGATCCAAGCACCCCAAGTTGTGCTTTTGGGGCCTATTTGAGTCAGTGTCATACCCTGACCATCATGGCTATTGTGATGCCATGACCATGCCAGCATACCATGGTATGGGTTGGGACACTTTGGAAATGTGAAAAATTCCCCTAATCAGATTCAGCTCCGCTTGGATCTTGTGGCACTTGTGGCACTGGCAGGTGCACTTGGCATGACACTGCATATGGGAGTTTTATATGGCTCCTTCAATTGACCTCTTCCAGAAAATGCTGTGGGGTACTGGGCTTGCAATCTTTCTGCTGGGCCTGGATTGTGTAGACACAATGTATTCATGTGAGAGCCTCAACTGCAGGAAGACCCAATAGCGGCTTAAATGGTTTGTATTTATATAGCGCTTTTCTTGTCTTGAGGACCACTCACAGTGCTCTATGCACTTAGACAGACTAAATAAATGTCCTGTTATGTTGTTTACTTATCCATGCTCACTCTCCCTCTGATATCCTGGTCCATACAGCACCTTGTGTCTCACCTGCAATGTTCCTTTTCAATGGAGTCAGTGCTGCTTTGGACTATTGTAGCTGTTGCCCCATTGTCCAGTTTGAAAGCAATCTGTTTTCCATTCAGATGCAGCAGTTCATATTACTCTGTGTTTCCCTCTGAACACATTTCAAGAAAGCAAAGTTTTTCTCATTACTTTCTATCTGTGCCTCTGTGTTCATGGATGCCCCCAGTTGAACTGCATTTTTTGTGTGATTTCCCTTTTTGTGGCATCTCTGACATTCGGCATCACAAGCTGGTCAGTCTTTCCAGAGGTGTTTCCTCGCTGTTTCCTCTGCTGCATCCAGATGACTGGGTATCCTGATGAGTGTTCAGTCTCTCGTAGCACTGTCTTGGGACTCACTATTGGTGAACAATAGATGGGCATACATGTGTAGCCAAAACCTGACCACATGTCTTCTTGTCCTGATGACAAAGGAGAGCTTCCAAAACTCAGTCTACCAGGGTCCTTCACACCTAGATGTAAAATCTGCCCCTGGACTCAACTTTCAACCACTATTGGTCACTGAGTGCCTCAGAACCCATAAGGCCACCAGACCAATAGTGGCTTTTTCTAATAAGTAAATTCTGCATTCATCTGTAAGCTTTCTGATAATTTAACTCTAAATCTAAAATCTCCTGTGCCAACTACAATGCGGTCCATTATTAGCTCTTCTCCCAGGGCTCCAAATTCACAATGGTCAGCAAGTGTATGCACCACTGTTACACATGACTCAACACTCTCACCCAGCCACAAGCATGCTGGCAGTATGAATGTGCAGCAGATGACTCTGCAGAAATTGTTAGATGCAGTCATGTCAACAAGGAGCAGAATTAAAGAGAGGAGCCAGTGTTGATTGGGCTCTTAATAAAGTGGTAATGTGTGAGTGTGTGTACATTGTCCTTGACTTGAGATGTATGCGGAAGTGCTGCAAAAAAGTGAAAATAGGTAGGTTTGTATATATATATATATATATATATATATATATATATATATACTTAATTTCAGTCTGGATCAAATATTGTGACCTAAGTCAAGTAGACATAGTCTTTAATACATCTTCTGTGGGTTTGTCCTTGGTTAAAATATAATATTTTGAATAAGGAAAAGAAAACCATTTACTTATTGCAAACTACTTCAACAACATTAAAAGGGGATATTCCATAGCTGACAAATATAAATAAATAGCCTGTGAAGGGATGACTCACATTATCCTAAGATCAAAATAAAGAAGTTAAAACAAGAAAGTAATGTTTTATATCTAAAGATAACCTTTGATTATAAAGTAATCATAATAAATAAGAGAGTGAACTTGTGAGTGTGAGAATAAGATAAGTTGTTATCTCAGAGGTAACAGGCTGATTAAATACTAATACGTAATAAATACTGTGGACCTGTGTCTGTAGTGATCACTACTAACTGCAGAGGTACCTACTTGTGTGATATTTGAGGGTCACCCATGTCTGATACATTGTACAGTTTACTCATTTAAACAAGAGGTGAGTCTTAAGTAACAGAGACCTGGAATGTGTGCTTGTACCTACTTCTATTTGTTTGGATCATTTTGAGGATAGACATTTTTTTGGGAAAGTGAGGACATTTTGACTGGTCCTCCCTTTTGGACCCACTTTTAATAGAGTTAAGACTTGCTTTTAGGGTTAGGGTTAGGCATTGCGTTGCGATAGTTAAGGTGAGGGTAAGGGGCTAGGGGATTCATTATACCAATGCCTCACCATCTAGAAGTGTGCAGGGGTGGGCAATGCCCACACACATTTCTACTCTTCCCACCCAATTGGTCAACTTTATTCTGTGCCATTTGAATCTGCTTTTTTCATTCGCCCTGTCATAATTTCCTGATTTCTCAATTTCTGGTTGGTCACAGGGCTGGTTTTGAAAAAACAACTATTCTCTGATTAAAATTGATCTTCATTTGAATGATCTAATGTTGATTCATAAAGAGGATGGATCGTTCTGTTGATATAGTGACGCATTCTATAAAACTTGGAAAATGCTCATCACTAAGTGAACTGTGTGAAGGTGCCCATCCCAAATTTCTATTGCCCCCCCCCCCCCAAATCTGAGCAGTGTAGATCCTGGTCATCACTAAGATCGACGTACAAACATGAGTGTGTGAGTGTGTGTAAGTGTGTGTGGGTGGGTCAGACAGTGAGCCTGTGCGTGGGTGGGGGTTTGGGTTTGGGTCCCCCCTCTCACCCTTGGGCCCCAGGAAACTCGGAGAACAGTTCTCGGGGTTAGCGTGCAGGCTCCCCCCTCCTGACGTCACGTCTGGAGGCTGGCTGCTCGCGCCGCTGACACCGTTCACCTCCAGCGGAGAAACTTTCCTGGAGTTCTCGGCTCCTCTGACCGCGGAGCGACTCACTCACTGTCCGGAGGAAGCCGCGGCAGCTCGGACACGCTGCGAGCCACAGGAGGACACGGAGCGGAGTCTCATTCACCCCCCCCCGCCCCCCGAGGAACGTTTTTACGAGACATGCCCTTTTTTATTTGACACTTTTGACAGTGAAACCGACGCTTTTCTTTGGGTAAAGTTAGCTTACTGAGGTTGGAGGTCGATACCTACATGAATATGCTCAGGAATACACAGGTTTTTGTTACTTTCAAGAAGTGAAAGATTTTTTTAAAGGAGCCGAAATTAACCTGGACAGCCCCCTGCCTCACTCACTGCCTCCCAAACTTCACTCACTGCTCGGTGTCGACATGTCTTGGATTAACCGGGGCCTCTTATTTGTCTTCGGTGTGTTGCTGTGTGTGTCAGCGGAGCAGCAGCAGGGCCAGAGCGGCTTCAGGAGGCTGTACGTACTGCAGCCCCGACCGGGGCCGGGGCCGGGTTCGATCGGAGGGGACGGCGGGGTGCGGGTCAGCTCCATCTCGACGCGTCATGGCGCGGCGGGGCAGCCGCACACGTACAACGTGGAGCTCGCCGCCAACTACGGCGGCCAGGTCCGGACCCGCAGGATGGGGAACCAGGCGGCTCCGGTGCCCCAGTTCAGCCCGCAGCAGCCATCAGTGGTCCGGCACAGCGGACAGGAGCAGAGCCAGCAGCGGCAGGTTATGAAGCTGTCCGGGTAAGAAAGTCAGAGAAAAACATGTCAGGACGGAGGAATGTAAGGGAATGAGAATGAACTTAATGACTTCCCGTCAGCTTTGATCATAAACCAAGCAGGCACCACAGTCAAAACGGATCTAAAAAGCACATTTGCACTCTCACCTTATCTTAATGACACAGGCATAATGGACATGTTTGGGTTGGTCTTTCCTCTGGAGTGAACTCACACACACACACACACACACACACAC